CAGCCTGATGAGACGAATGTGAATCGTATGCTTGGAGCGTCACATTCACCTCATCTCAACCCTGCTGAAAACCTTTTTAAGAGTTTGTTCACTGATGCTTTAGACAGAGATCTCCAGCACTATCCTCAAAACATCAAAAACTACACATTACACCTACAGGAGAGCCGTGCCATGAAGCTCCTGGTGCACAGTGATTCAGCTGATATTAATGTCAGATGGTGTTTGGAGGCTTTTAAACACCTTCCTCTGTTACTTTAAATGATCTGCTTGTTTGTAGCTGCTGAGTTCTTCCAATTTGTAATAATTCCACTTACAGTTGATGGTGAAATATCTAAGATCCAAATAACCTGTTGCAACTTTATCATGCTGTCATAGCACCACACTCGAGGTCAGTGGTCTCTTTAGACCCGTTGGCTCACAAATGTTCGTAAAGGCAGCCTTGGTGCTTGACTGATTGCACACCATGTGGATCTCTCACCTCGTTTTTTAGAAGTACATTTCTGAAATAGACCAAAGTCATAACACATGCAAATACAAATATTTGCATTCTTCATTCCTCATGTTGTGTAATCACCCACCTCCTGGTATTTACCTGCTCCTGGAGCTTTAAAGACATCAATAATCGAAGCATGATAGGAAAACTGAAAGGATGTGTAATGTGGTTACTGTCAGTGCACGACAGTAACCAGGGAGGAGGGTTAGTGTCAGACATCTTTAACCTGGATCACACAGTCAACGTTTAAACGTAACATGTAACCGAGCTTTTTTTCAGCGCTGCTAAACGTGTATGCAGAGACGTTAACGGCTGCTAATAGCAAGCTAGTGTGGTGGTCGTGGTATTCGTCGCCGTGGAGCAGATTTGGATTCATCCACTTGCTTCGTTCACGCTGCATTGACAGTTGGTTCAGGGGTGTGTTGGCATTAAGATGCAGGTGCAGTCACCTGTTCAGTTTACCTGGTATTGATCAGTGCCAGGGTGAGCTCGAGGCGACAGAGTTCAGTTGGCTGTAGGTTGAGCAGTTTCTATCTGTACATCAGCACACGCCTGTTAAAACTGCAGTGCAGGGATGTGGAAATAAAGAGCAGCTAACAGTCTCTGAAGTCCTTCAGTCTTTCTTCTGTGCATCATGTTTATTTTTCTCTTACACTGGACAATTATCATCTTATAATATATTGTTGACCGTCCAATAAAATATAGAAAGCTGCTGTAAATGTATGAATGCATCATGTAAATAGTAGCTGCAGTTAATCTTACAGCAGCTGCTGACAGTAACA